CTCTCATTGATGTTTCTAACTCTCTATCCCTCTCCTTCTCCCTTCCTCTCTGTAAAAAAAAAAAAAATCAATAAAATATATTAAAAAAAGACTGGTACATTTTAATTGCATCCAGGATGTATTCATTCTGCAACATTAATTGACCACCAACACTGTCGGGGCCACAGACACAGGAAATAGTCCCTGACATTGAAAGAGCTCAAAGTGCAATGACCATAGAAATCAGAAATGTAAGAAATGTCATATGATTATGTGTTAAATGAGTGGTATGTACAATTAGTCCCATGAATGCAGAAATTACTAGAAAGATTTCATAAAGGAAGACTCAAACGTGAACAAGAGGTAGAGTTGTAAGAGGCTAAAAGTGGGACAATTACTAGGCAGTGCTACAAAGCATTTTTCAGTTCATCTAATTCAGTGACTCCTCTGTATATCACAAGCACCCATGTGGGTCAGTCCAATGAGATTTGATAGCCTTGATATGATTTCTTCTATTTACAGCAGTGGTTCTCAACCTTCCTAATGCCACAACCCTTTAATACAGTTCCTCGTGTTGTGGTGACCCCCAATTTCATTGTTACAAATTGAATGTAATTAAAGCATAGTGATTAATGACAAAAACAATATGTAATTATATATGTGTTTTATGATGGTCTTAGGCGACCCCTGTGAAAAGGTCGTTCGACCCCCAAAGGGGTTGCGATCCACAGGTTGAGAACCACTGATTTATAGCAAAGTGAGGCATATGCACTAATCATAGTAGCAAACTGCATCTACTTCAGTGGTCAAGAGTCATACAATTATTCTTGCCACAGAGATGTCTTGGGACCTTGACCCCACTAGCAATCTGGTTACAAAGTTAAAAGAGGCAGCTAGGGAACAGCTGGTGTGGCTCAGTTGTTGAGCGTCAACCTATGAACCAGGAGGTCACGGTTCAATTCCTGGTCAGGGCACATGCCCGGGTTTCAGGCTTGATCCCTAGTGTGGGATGTGCAGGAAGCAGCAATCAATGATTCTCTCTCGTCATTGATGTTTCTATCTCTCTCTCCCTCTTCTTTCATCTCTGAAATCAATTAAAATATTTTTTAAAAAGGCAGTTAGGAAGCCAGTTCCAAAAAACAGTGCACTCAGTTCTTTCTCCAAGCTTTATCATGAAATGGAGATTAACTAAATACCACAATTGCCTTTCAGTAGCTGGAAAGCTCACAGGTTGTCAGTGTCATTCTATAGCAGGTGTCCTCAAACTTTTTAAAAAGGGGGCCAGTTCACTGTCCCTCAGACCATTGGAGGGCCGGACTATAGTTTAAAAAAAAAACTATGAACAAATTCCTATGCACACTGCACATATCTTATTTTGAAGTAAAAAAAAACAAAATGGGAACAAATACAATATTTGTATTTGCATGTGGCCCACGGGCCATAGTTTGAGGACCCCTGTACTATAGCATTCTGACATTCCCAGCCATGTTAGTTGCTATGTGTTCATCACACAAGCGGGACAGAGTTTGGGCAGAAAGGACGGAGAAGGGTTCATGTGCTCAAAGCTGAAACTGGCAGACTCACTCACATTGCCTAGATAGCTCACCCTGAGAATAAATCAGGAAATCCTTTTTTTAAGCGCTGTACAATTTTCATTCTGCTTTAAATTCAAATACATTTACCATGGATACAATTATACTTGAATACATAAACATATTTAAATACACTACCTACCTGTAATCTTCTAGCCTCTCCTTTTCTATATTTGACTCTTACAGACAGCCACAAAAGTTCTACAGAATTTCAGATTCTCAGAGTTGCGAGAGGCTTATAGACAATCTAGCCCAATTTCCCATTCCGGGCAAAAACCCACTCTGTGACAGCAGCCCTGAGAAATGATCACCTGGCTTCTTTAGAAACACTTTGAACAATACAGAGCTAACTAGCTACTGAATGAACAATCTCTTTTCATTCTATGTCTTCAACCTACTGTCTGTCCACTAAAAAGTATAGGTCCCTCCTTTGAGAAGTCTAAACATGTAAAGGCAAAATCCAAAAATAAAACTATTTCCATTGGCACTACTAGCACTGCACGTTTTTCATCAAGGGGCACACATATGCCTGACCAGATTTCTCAAGCCATCTGGCTGACCCAGGGCTGTGCCATAGGCAGCTATAAATCAACTCACACTTGTTCCTAAGCACCTGCTGCAAGCGAGACCCTATTACTAAAATGCAGATCCAGATACGCATCGGGATCTGGGCTCTCTTCCCCAAGGCAAAAATGCAGCAGCCAGAGGAAGTGATGTCTATGCTTCTGGACAAACTGATGAAAATAACCAGCCCTTTGTCACCCTCACCTAGCTTGATCAGCTGACTTTCTGAGGTCTCCCTAAGCTCTAATACTATCGAAGGAGCCCATGTTTTACCCCCCAGACCCTCTCCCCCACTGTGTGCTTGGTAGTAAATTACAGACTTCAAAGAAAAAGGTTGACCAGAAAGTGACTCCATTATTCAGAGACATGCTGGTTTCCTTTGTATAGTCTGTCATTGGCAAGGCACAAGGCAGTCAGCATGTAGAGTATCTGTGTGTCTGTATGTCTATATATATCACACACACACACACACACACACACACACACACACACACACACATTCACAAACACAGATTCCACCATTCTCAGTGAAAAGGATTCATCACCAGGGTCCTCTCCCCTTTGGTCAGAGTTATACTTCCTCATTCCATTCCTCAGCTAATATATTTACTTCCTTCTCCTCCCCCCATCTCCCTTCCCCAGCCCTGCCCTAAAAAATATTTACTCTATTGCACAGACATCTGGAACTCTGAGCAGTTTACAAACAACCTCACCCTTCATATCTGAGGACAAAGTGTGAGAAATAACTTGGGGGGAAAAGTCATTTGGTAGAAAATATAACCTGCCTCTGTCAAACTGTAACTTGGCTAATTATAAGCTCATCCCACAGGCAGTTTTCTTCAGAAGCCTTTGGGTCTAAGTGGTACAGACCCAAATCAGACTCTGTCTGGATCCCAGATACAAAAAGGACCAAACACCAATAGCTCCAAATTTCAAATCCTCCCCCCCAGCCAGTCAGACCAGAGGTTTCCTGGGCCCAGAATTATCAGCTCACTCAGGGTCAGGAAACAAATCTCATGGTTTCAATCACAACAAATTAACCCCAAGGCAGGGGGTGGGAGTAGGGGCAAAAAGAGCTAATGATTTCACAGGGATGACGCACAAGACAGGGAGGATAATAGAGACCAGAGTTCAGCTCTGCACTTCCAAAAAGAAGCAAGGCAGGAATAAAGCAAAGAAAACTTGGAGAGCCCTGGCTGGTTTGGCTCAGTGGATAGAGTGTCAACCCATGGACTGAAATGTCTCGGGTTCGATTCTGCTCAAGAGCACGTACCTCAGTTGCAGGCTCTATCCCTGGCCCCGACTAGGGCCGTGCGGGAGGCAAACAATAGATGTGTCTCTCTCACATCAATGTTCCTCTCTCTGTCTCTACTCCTCCTTTCCACTCTCAAAAAATCAATGGAAAAAAATATCCTTGGGTGAGGATTAACAAAAAAAAAAGAGAAAACTTGAAGAGATGGGTCAAGAGAGGCGGGGGGGAGGGGGAGATTATTTTGATGTTATGCATATGCCTGCCTGGCTGCACATACTCACTTGTACCTCACACAAGTACACAAACACACACACACACACACACAAACACACACACTCAGCCATGAGACTCAGACTGGAAAGCAGCTAAGAAGCCATGGCCAAACTGCCTGACTCTGCCAAATACTTCACAAAGTCCACAGCAACAGCAGCAAAAGTGCCTTTGACAAAGAGCTCTTCTGACCTTACTTTCCTAGCCCTGTTATAAACTGGGTCCCCTTCCTCCCCCTGCTGTTACTCAAGCCAGCTGCAACCATCAAGAAGTTTAGCAAAGCAGCTCAAAAAAATCACTCTTGATGCACTGGAAAAGCCTGAAGCTCTTACAGAAGAAAGACAAAAATGAGCCCCAAGAGACCAGAGCTCATTTTAATTACCCACAAAGGCTGGCCAAAGAGCCCTGTCTTCCCTGCCACGGCTATGCTGCAGCCTGAAAACTCCAGTTCCAGGTCACTCATGTACATGAACTACATGTACATGAGTGCAGGCTCAAGTTAGGTGTGGCTCACAGTCTACACACACTTCTTGGCTCCTCAAGGCTCTTCTCATAATAACCCCAGACCAATTAGCATTGCTCCCATCCCCAGAGTGCATAGCATTCTCAGAACAACCAGCGGCGATGTCACAGCATCCTAGAATCCAACTAGCCACCTCCCTAGCAGGTGCCCTACACAGAACAGTGGCTCTAGGATTGGCTATTATACCACAGAAAAAAAATAACTCCAAGGCTGGTATCAAGCACACACAAAATAGAGGGTTATGTTGCATGATTTTAAGTAAATAAAAGAACAACTCACAGTTAATAAGCACATATGTGCCACACACACAGCTAGTCTGTAGCATAGATGAGGCTGGAACCAATCTGCAGGTTCCCAATTCAGTTGCCTTTTCAATTTAATAGCTAGCTGAGAGCTAATCCCTAAAGTACATAGGACCCAGAATAACAGAATAGGTGACTATGGTGGGGTGGAGTTATGACCACAAGGGGTGCCCCTGGACTTGAGAGGAGTGGGGAAGAGGCAGCCTGTCGCTAAGAATCTAAGGAGACCACTGAAAAGGGGAGGAAGGAATAAAAACAAGTTATTTTATTTCCCAAGGGTGTCAGGAGTAGCCCCAAGTCAGTGCTATAATATTGGTATCAAAGGTCTGGGTCTTTTTACGCAACACATACTCTGCTATAAGCATAAAGCAATGAATTCAGTTGACATGATCTATAGACACTGCTCAAGAGGACAGTGACAACCATCCAAGGACCACCCACAAACTTCCCAGAAAGAAGGTTCTTCCCCTAGATTCAGAGTAATCATTGTCAGGTGACTCTACTCAATGGAAACTTACTCGAAGGCAAAGAAGAGTGTACATGTCCCCAGGATGAGGAAAAGGGTCAAGTAGAAGATGCCCTTTTGCCGGGCCATCATGACACGGCCATCGCAGCAGAAGGTGTTCCTGCCTGGGAGTTTCTCCCACTTCCGTGTCACCTTCTTTCTCACCACCATCACAGACATGATTGGAATTCCTGGTCCAGATGCTTTTTGTGATTACAAGATGGAAAAAACAGAAGCTGAGCTCAACTTTAAAATCACGTTGCCTGCTATTGCTGCCGCTGGGTCAAACATCATCAAAAGTCCAACTTCTAACCCTAAGAAAAAAGACCAAAAAAAATGAGGCAGGAACATGAAAATGCAGTTCAATCCTCCTTCCCCAGAAGCAGAAGACAAGCCTGAAAGGGTGGGGTGGGAAAGTGGGAAAAGTTTATTTCCAATCTATGTTTGTCCTCTAAATGGAGAAAAGTTTACAGGTTCTCTAGACAAAAAGAAGAAGAAGAGAGCCAGTATATCTTCTTAAAGAAACCCCATGGTTCCAAATATAATACTGGTGGTTTGTTCATCATAGAACCTTGGAGCTAGAAAGGTTTTTATAGGTGATAGCCCCAATTAATTGGTTGAAAATGAGTAAAGTGAAAACCACATAGAGAAAATAACTTATCCAGGGTCACACAACTGCAAAGCTAAGTAAAAATACTTGTCTGCAGACTTTTAATCCAGGGCACTTTCCACTACACCACATTGTCCTATAATCATCATTAAAAGAACTAAAAATAATAGTTTATGTCCTTAAGGAGACATTCCCTCCCCTCCTCCACTTCTTCACCTTCTTTCTTCAATTAGCCACTCAAATATGAATCACAGCAGGGAACAAGTCATCCTCTGGCAGAGCTAGGAGGTTCTGGACACTCTGGACACACATCCAGGTACTTACTCAAAACAGATTTCCCCTAATCAAACCCTTGGCAACTTCCTGAGTTCAGGAAATGAACCAATGTTGGGGGGGTCAAGCCTAACATTTGTGGGAATCTTAATGAAAACACATCACAGATCTATAGGTGGAAGGCTGACTAAAACAGGAGAGGTATTGAAAGGGTTGGAGGGGGAGGAAGAAGGCAGCAATTAAAAACAGTCATAAAGATGTTTTCTGGGATATTTCATAAGTACCTAGCATCCTGAATCCCCAAGCCCAACCTTTCTCAGCCACTGCCACCCTTCTCATCCTCTCAGGTGTGGTGCTGTGGCCTCTACTTACTGACACCACATGCCCCACGCTGGCAAGACTGAGGCGGAAGCCTGCAGCCTGACTGACTGATGAGAAACAGCCAACTTGAAATCATCCCCCAGCTGGAGAGGGCAAGGGTCCAAACAGAGACTAGGCGATATGCCTGGCAATCAGAAGGTAGAGGGCTTGGGAAAGGGGAGGGAGCACTAAGGTGCAGAAACACTTCCTTTGTGTAAAACTAACCTGGAAAACAATCTCCCAATAACCCGGCCCAGCAGGAGAAGAGACCAGGAAAGGGAGCCAGGCCAGGGAGAACAAAGATCAAAATCCGTCCAGAACCAGCGACCGCCCACCCGCCCGGGGCCAAGGC